AATCAACAAGTATGTCCACACTTCTCTAGAATAGTTATCAACAATAGTTAAAAAAATAACGAGCTCCACACGACGAAACATAACGATATAGACCCCATAAATCACAATGAACCTTCTCAAATATTCTAGATGCCTTATTATAACTCAAAGGAAAACTATGTCTAGGATGTTTAGCACACATACATACTTTACACCCCTTATTTAGACTATCTTTGCAATAAACAGTAGGAAGTAACTTAACTACTTTCTCGGAAGGATGACCCATACGACGATGCCATAGCTCCAAATTAGACCTTGCGTCGATAACACCCATATGATGCACCGAATCTGATTTGCTAAAACAGTACAATCTGTCTCTCCTAAAACCCGTTCTAATCAACTCCTTCGTTTGATCCTGTATAGCACACATATAAGAGTTACATTGGACAATACAATTAAGCTCATCATTAAGATGTGAAACAGAAAGTAAATTACAGCACATATTAGGAACATAAAGCACTCCAATTAGACTAATTTTTTCCGACAAACGAACGGAACCAACAAGAGAAGTCAACACTATTTCACCGTTTGGTAACCTTACTGGACATTTAAGACTCTTTGTGTAAAAAAGACAAGATTTTTCTCTTGTAACGTGGTGTGTAGCTCCGGTGTCAATAATCCAAGATGTATCATCAAATTTGTAATTCACACGATTCTCGACAATTGTGGTATAGCCCACCAAACCTTTAATATCTTTTGATTTATCATGTATAAATAACTGACAATTAGAACTCAAACCAAGACCTTGATTGGTCAATGTAACCGCAGCCCCACAACTACTATTGCACTCTAATTGATGCTGGTGGAGTATTTGATTCGTCCACCATGTTTATTGAAAAAAATTATTTAAAATTAAAATAACCTATGCTCAAATACCATGATAAATTGAATAAACGTAAAGGCTTGATATCCATTGATTACTCTCATAAACTATATAATACAAGATATTCCCTAATTTGATAGAATTAGGAAATCACCTAAAATATACTCACAAGATATTTTAGGCATAAAATATGTGAAATTGCTATTTGCCACAATGAAATTACTCAAACTATAGTATTAAAAGACTTTCATGCCCCTTATAATTTTGAAAATTACATATCAATCCAACCATTATTAACTACTAACTTTGTCCTACCTTGACCATAGTCAAGCCTTAGCTCCACCTTGACCATTAGCTCCACCACCATACCAGGCCACCAACTCACCTTCACTGGTCCACCATCACGTCTCCACCTTGGCTGGTCCACCACGACTCCAACTTGACCATCATACACCACGTCTCCACCTTGACAAAATTAAATTCAAATTCGAATTTAAAAAAAAAAAATTACCATAATTCAAATTACATTACTAATTTAATCACGGATTCAAAACTAATTTACTGATGCTAATTCGAAATTTAAAAAAAACAAATTACAACCATAATTCGAAATTTAAATTCAAATTCAAAATTCAATAAACAAAAACCATAGTCGCGTGCTATATGCGACTCCACCACGGCATAGTCGGTTGTCAAATGCGACTACACCGTGGTAGAGTCGCGTGCTATATGCGACTGTACCGTGGCATAGTCGCACGCTATGTGCGACTCCACCACGGTGTAATCGCATGATATATGCGACTATGCTGTGGTGGAGTGGCATATATCACGCGACTATGTGAATCTATGCGAAAAAAAACTTACCGACGAATTGGCCGGCGTTTTCCCCACGTTTTCCGGCAAACGAACCCCCTTCCCACGCCGCGATTCCATTGTCGTCAGCCTCTTCCTTTTTTCGGTTGATTTGGTATGATAAATGGCTGATTTGGTGTGATAGATAGTGAGAAAATTGGATGATTCCGGCGACCTTAGGGTGGTGGTGGTGATGGTGTTTAGGGTGATGGTGATTCCGGCGACCTTAGGGTGGTGGTGGTGATGGTGTTTAAGGTGATGATGGTGGAAGGAGTATGGTTGGTGAGAAAAATTGAATGATGTCAAACATGGAATTTATAAGGGTAGATGAGTCATTTAATACCGCGCCCTAAGTAATTCTATTGTGGCATTTAGTAACCCCCCAAAATATATCCTAATAATCCTATGATACTCTCAAAATATATCCCAATATACTAATTATGTCCTTGAATTTGGTTACATATATTAGTCCTTCTCGCACACGATATTTTTAATGCTATTTTAGAGAGGGATAACCAATTGTATCCGCTTGAACAATCAATCAATCAATAACTATATACTAAAAGACACACCAGCAATGACACGTGTCATCTCCTAGTGTGTCATCAGATTTTTTTGTTTTTATTTTTTTCTAAATAAATTTTATTAAAGAAACAAATGTTATTCAAAAATAATTCCCTAATCTTATATGATATTATTACTTAAAATAAAAAATTGACATATTTTTAACACAGATATTTAAATAGCTATTTAAAAAAAACATTCTTAACATAACTTTGTCATTTTCTACTTTATTTTATATGTAACATATCTTTCGTAATACTTTTTTTATATCAAAATTTTTCAACTAAATTTTTAGATTTTTTTGTTTATAAAAAATCTCATATAATGATAGTTTAATAATGATTATTGAAGATTACCTTGCATGGCACGGGAAGTAACCTAGTATATTTCAAATTTAATGCATACAACCTCATTCACATTTGGGTAGACTAGCAGCTACACTATATTATTCATTGCACCGTAAAGGCCAACATTAGAATTTCGGTTATGGAAATAATATACCTAATAAAATTATTTTATATTTTCAAAAAAAAAAAAAAAGAATTATATCATGCTTGTTAAAAAAAGAAGGAAATTTTGCCAACAACTACCTTTTAAATGACCACTTTTGAGAACAACTACCATTTAAAATTTTCTTTTAAAAAAACTACCACAGTCACAAAAACTTTGAGTAGCAATACCACGTTTTATTTTCCAGGAAGAATTTCCGGTTGAGAAAGCCTAGTTTATAAAATTTCAATCAATTGTGGTATAGAAAACAAGAGATTTCGATAGTAAAACACAATTATAGGTCAATTATCTTTCATTTTGCATTATAGTTTATTTAATTTCTCAATTAAATCTTAAAATTAGGGTTTATGGTAAAAAATTGAATTAATGGCTTACGAAATTGGGGGATTTGGGACAATTGAAGTGTATAATCCAATTAAGGGTTAATGTAGTGCAATATTACCATTTAATTTGGGTTTTTTGAGGGAAATTTTGTAAAATATTCCCCAAAAACGGAGATTCTTGCCGGAAACAATAAATGTGGTAGTGCTACTCAACCTTTTTGTGTTTTTGCTGTAGTTTTTTCAAAAGAAAATTTTAAATGGTAGTTGTTCTCAAAAGTGGTCATTTAAATGGTAGTTATTTGCAAAATTTCCAAAAAAGAACGACTTTTCTTTTAAAAAAAAAAGAACGACTTTTGAATATAAATTAGAATTAGAATTATATAATATTAGATTAGTACCCGTGAAAAAAAAAAAACATAAAACTCCCTCGAAAGAAAGGGCTTTCTCTCTAGAGCGTAGGGTTTGGCTGCTGTACTTCGACGGCTGTTTTTCTTGTGTTTTCCTTTGTTGTGATTGATTTCCTGGCGGTGAATCCGGTTTTCCTATGGCTGACGACATAGTTGAGCGTTATGCTAACCTAAAACTGGACGATGAGGACGGAGGAGTGGTGGTTTTAGGGGTAGTTGACTCTGCCCTAATGCCTGAAAAATTCCATCTAATGCTTATTGGTAGACTGGTGACGGAGAGACCTTATAATGTTTAGGCTTTCAAAAGCACCATGACCAAGGTATGGAGTCTATCGAACAAATTGCTAATTCGTGCTCTTGGACCAAACCTTTACGCGTTTCAGTTTTTCCATTGGAGAGACCGTGAACGAGTTCTTGAGGGGAGACCTTGGTGTTTTGACAATAAATTGATTGTGATAAAAGAAATAGAGGGAGGTGAACAACCTGATAAAATCTCCTTGTACCATTCACCCTTCTGGGTGAGAATTAAAAATTTGCCCTTTAATTGTCGATCAGACGCTGATGTGAAGGAGTTAATTGCAAATTGGGGTGAGTTGCTGGAATTAGAGGAAGATGTCCTTAGGATTGATCGGTTCAGACGAGCGAAGGTTCTAATCAATATCACGAAACCCCTTCGTAGATTTCAGCGAATTTTGGACAAAGCAGGTAACATTGTTTATGTGGAATTTGTGTATGAACGATTGCCTTTTTTCTACTTTGCGTGTGGGGTAATTGGCCATGCCGAGAAGGATTTTTGTATGGTGTCGGAGGAGAGTAAAACTCTTAAGCTAGGGTGGGGACGTTGGCTGCGGGCTTCACCTAGAAAAGGAAGGTTAAGGGAGGTAGAGGAGATTGAATTAGTTCTTGCTGCTCGTAAACAATTATTTGTTACCAAAGACTCTGAGAGGGAGGCACAAAAGGAAAGAGAAATAGGGGAAGATGAGTGTAGTAGGGGTACTTTAGCTGTGAAGGATTGGAATGGGCAGGGTGGGGTTATAGTCGGCAATGAAAGTCAGGAGGAGGGAGAAAGTGTGATGCTAGAGAGTGGAATTACTTCTACTCCTAAGGTGGGGGATGAATGTCTTTTTAGTTTTGGGGCAGAGAAGGATGTTCAAAAAAGGGAAGGAAGAAGTACATGAGGTTTGACAAAAGTGTTTATGCCTTTGACAGTCATATGGAGGCTGATGGAGAACAGGTTCTAGGGAAGAGGGAGAGGGAAATTGACAAGAGCTCTTTGACCAAAGACGGGATGAGTAAGAAACTAATTATTGGAGATGAATTAACTGGATTGCGAGTGGCGGAGGCTGTCAAAGAGCAACCCCGCCGAGCTTCATGAATATTCTGTGTTGGAACTGTCGGGGTATGGGCAACCCCGATTCAGTTCGGCAACTCCGGAAATGGAGTAGACTTCATGCCCCCGATATTGTCTTTGTGTCGGAAACCATGGCCAATAAGATCATCATTGAGAACCTTAAAGAGCGATTGAGTTTTGCAAGTGCTTTTGGTGTGTCGAGCAGGGGGAAGAGTGGTGGCCTATGTTTGTATTGGAGAGAAGGAGTAGACTGCAATATTGTCTCTTATTCACAAAATCATATATGTGTTGATATCAAGAAAAATGATTTAGTATGGAGATTTGTTGGTTTGTATGGCTGGCCAAAGGAGGAGGAAAGATATAAGACGTGGAACTTGATCAAATTCTTGTGTGAGGAAACCACTGTGCCTATTATTTTCGGGGGAGATTTTAACGAAATCTTAAGCTGTGGGGAGAAGGAGGGGGGTGTGGAACGAGTGAGGAAGGAGATGGAGGGGTTCCAAAATGTTGTGAATGATTGTGAGTTAAGGGATTTGGGATTCAATGGTTCATGGTACACTTGGGAGAGGGGTAAGACGATGGACACTAGAGTAAGGGAAAGGCTTGATCAATTCCTAGCTTCTCTGTCTTGGACATACCTCTTTTCGAACTTTGGGGTTGAGCACTTGGTGAGGTACAATTCGGACCATGCAACAATTCTATTGAAATCGAAAAGCCAAATAAAAAAGAAGAAAAAGAAAAAGAGCTTCAAGTTTGAGACTAGTTGGCTGCTTGATGAATCTTGTGAACTTGCAGTTAAAGCCGCACGGAGCTTTTCTATGGGGCTGCCAACAGTTGCTAGAGTAGTTGTGGTTGGTCGGGGACTCTTAGCTTGGAGTGAGGATAAGTTCAATGACTTGGGGAAACAAGTAGAAGACACTGAGAAAGAGCTTCGTATTGCACAGCAGCGACCCACTTCAATGGATAGTTGCTGGGAGTGTTCGAGGCTAGAGCAAAAACTTGATGATCTGAATGCTAAGCATGAGTCTTATTGGCACATTAGATCTCGGGTGGCTAAAATTAAGGATGGAGATAAAAATACGAAATATTTTCATCATAAGGCCTCTCAAAGAAGGAAGAAGAACTCTATAGTTGGACTTTATGATGACTCGGGTTAGTGGCAAACCGGTGAAGCAAATTTTGAGCAGGTGGTATGTAATTTTTATAATAATGTGTTCACCTCAACACAACCCTCTAAGGATGAATTCGACGAGTTCTTGATAATGTGACTTCCATTATTACCCCGGAGGACAATGCAGAGCTAATGTGCCCTTTCACAAAGGAGGAAATTTATGACGCTTTATCTCAAATGCAACCTTGTAAGGCTCCAGGTCCTGATAGGATGCATTCAATTTTTTATCAGCGTTTCTGGACATTGTCGGTGATGAAGTGACTAAGTTTGTTAGTAATATTTTACATGGTGATTGTTCCCCCAAACCTGTTAATAATACGAACATTGTTTTGATCCCGAAAGTTGATTCCCCTACGTCTACCGCTGAGTTTAGACCTATTACTTTGTGTAATATGCTCTATAAAATAATGTCTAAAGCTATTGTGATGAGATTGAAAAATATTCTTCCAAAGGTAATTTCATAAAATCAGAGTGCTTTTGTCCCTAGGAGAATGATCACTGATAATGCTCTGGTTACTCTGGAAATTTTTCATTCAATTAAAAAGAGAAGCAAGGGCCGGAAAGGGTGGATAGGTATGAAGCTCGACATGAGAAAGGCATATGACAGGTTGAATGGGGTTTTTTGAGAGGGCTTCTTCTCAGTGGCGTAACCAAAAAAATTTCGAAGGGGTGGCTGACCTAATCGATAATCTAAAATACATACATCAACAAGTCATAAATGCATATGTAATTGGGTAAAAAAATCAACATAAACCATTAAAATAAAAAGGTCTATAAAAATTTGAAGTATTAAAAAAATACTAATCACTTAACACGAGCTCTCCTAGGTTTCATAGAATAAAAGTCATCTATAATTGACTTTATTTCAAATTTTACAGCAATCTCCTTCTCAATATACACTAGCAAGTAATCGGAAAGAAATTCATCTTCCATCTTATTTCGAAGGCTAGTTTTCACAATTTTCATTGCCGAGAAAGCTCTTTCTGTTGTTGCTGTGCTAACCAGAAGGGTCAAAATAAGCCGAATCAATCTATCAACTAATGGATAAGTAACTGATTTCCTAGTCTTAACCAAACTTCTACACAAATCAGTAATAGTACTCAAATCCTTCATATCCGGGTGCTTAGGAACATCACTATAAAATTGTTGAAGTTGATACTTCAAATGTGATTTTTCATACTCTGTAAAGTCCTCGGGATAGTATTTCTATGCAAGGAGACAAATATTTTCCACATTAAAGTGTTTATATTCATCAATAGGACTCAAAGATGCACTTAAAGTCAGTAGCTCTGTTGTTCGTTCACTAAAGTGACTATTTAGCTCTTCCAATTGCTGATCTACAGCTGCATTAAACACATCCACCCGATAATGATGCTCCACTGTTATGTTGTCTTTGTTGCGTCGAGATCGAATTATATTAGAATAAGCAACTTGCATATCCAGTATCTGAGTATCATGTTTAAGGCAGAATGATTGTACTTTTTGTAAAAGGGATTCCCAACCGTTATCTCTAAAATTTTGAATCAAGGATTTTGTACCAGCAACTAAATGCATAGCATTTAAAATGTCTTGTGATTTATGCTGCAAAGCTCGACAAAGACCATCTGTATATCCCATAAGATCTTCCATAAGGTGTAAGATAAATACGAAATCAAATGATACCAACTTTTTTAGAACATATTTAGCATCCCCATGTTGAGAATATGATACCCGACGATCAATGACAATTTTTTCAAGGACTAAGCGAGTAGCATTGTACATTTTTAATAGACTATAAATCAACTTATAATGAGAGCTCCATCTAGTATCCCCAGGACGTTGCAACGTGCTAATTTGATTCAATCCTTTCCCTGTTTCAACCTCCTCAATCTCAATTAAATTCTCCAATTCAGCTATTTGGCTAGCTTGTAACTCATCATAACGCTTAGAAGAGGAGCTAACAGTGTTAACAATAAAAATTAAATCTTTGAAAAAATCGTGAACCTCAGCTACTTCCCTTGCTGCAGCAATAAGAGCTAATTGTAATTGATGTGCTAGACAATGTACATAATAAGCATAGCGACATTCTTCCATGAACAAAGCCTTTAAACCATTCCATTCTCCTCTCATATTACTAGCACCATCATATCCTTTCCCTCTAAGGTTTTGAATGCTCAACTCATGGTTAGATAAAACCACAGAAATTTCTTCTTTAAGAGTCTTGGAGATTGTATCTTTGACATGTACTAGCTCAAAAAACCGCTCTCGTAAATAACCATATCTATCAACAAACCTTAAAACAATAGCCATTTGTTCTCTTTTAGATATGTCTCAAGATTCGTCAACAATAATACAAAACTTTGAATCACCAATTTCCTCACGGATTTCTTTTTGCACTTTGTTTGCAAATACTTGTAGAATCTCTTTCTGAATTGCAGGAGATGTATATTTAGCATTTTTTGGGGCATTGTCCATCACAACATTACATACATCTTTATTATATGATGCTAAGAGTTTTAACATCTCAAGAAAGTTACTTTGATTTTTCGACTTTGCACTTTCATCATGTCCTCTGAATGCACAATTTTGAAATGTAAGCCATCGCACTACTTCAATTGAAGTTTTTATTCTTAAACGATTATCTTCAATCAATTGTGGATTAGGCTTTTCAAATGCCTGATTAATGTGACCTTCGGTTTTCTTCAAATTTTCCCAACATATTGCTGAATATCCATGAGCTGAATTGGTATCTTTCCCCATATGAGATAACAAAGAACAATCTTTACCCCCAACCATTTTCCAATTTCTGAATCCTTGTACTGTAAAAACATTTGATCCGGATTTTCCTAATGGGTCCTTTGGAAAAAGGAAACATGGAAAACAATAAGCTGCATCCGTTGTAGGGGAATATTCTAGCCATGGAAATTTCTTAAATCAATTAGATTGGAATCGACGCGGGTGATCTGTCGGACCTGAAGAAGGGTATTGATCTAAGTGAAATTGATAAGGCCCGTAATGTATATATGCATTGACAATATCTTCCTGCTCCTTTGAAGGGTAACTATCAATTGACTTACGCAAAGTCGGATCACGCATCAAAACTGTATTTCCAATATTAAATGTAGGTAGAGCTGTAAATGCATTTGTTGATTGTTCATTATGGGTAAAATTCTCGGGATTTACATCAACATTCGTTTCAACAGTCACATTAGGGGATGGGTCTTCAATGTTCAATTCAAAAGGAGATTTTGCTTTCGAAAAATAAGAGTCAATTGTTTTTCTCTTCATATTTCAAGTTTTCAACCTAGAAAAAAATAATATTATTTTGATCAATTACACGCTAAATAATTCATAATATCGTTGAGTTATAATAGTAATTTATGACAAAACTATGCGATTATATTCGTCTAATTAAATTACATATATAAAGTAATACAATTTATAATCTAATTTAACTCACTTAATTTGGTTATATAACCCTAATACATATATATTAAAAAAAAATAATAAAATTACAACAAAGAATAAAAAAAGTCAGAAAAGACGAACCTGAAGGTACCGAAGTAGGCTACTGTTGAAGCTTGAAGGTACTCTGTAGTTGTTATTTTATTAGGTTGGTAAAAGGGTAAAAAAAAATATATATACTTTAGAAATTGTCAAAGAGACAAAGACTCAAAAGTAACCTAGCCCCTAAGCCTATATATATAGAAGTACTTTTTGTTTCCTATATTTTATAGGAAAAAGAATTCAAAGATTCTTTCCTAATTTTGTGTCAGCCGCCTGACATGTATGCATGGGCTATTTTTCTTTCTTTTATTTTATTTTATAACTTGGACTTCAACACTATTTTTTTTTGGGCCAAGGGGGTGGCCATGGCCCACTCAGGCCTCCCTAATTCCGCCCCTGCTTCTTCTGACTATGGGGTTTGACGGGCGATGGGTTAATTTGATTATGGAGTGTGTTTCCTCGATGTCATACTCTTTTATTCTCAATGGAGGAGTGTATGGATCGGTTCTACCTTCTAGAGGGCTCCGTCAAGGAGACCCCTTGTCACCGTATCTTTTTATTCTGATTGCTGATGTTTTCTCTAGAATGTTACAGAATAAAGTACGGGATAACAAGCTCCATGGAGTGAAGGCGAGCAGGAATGGACCGGAGATCTCTCATCTCTTATTTGCTGATGATAGTCTTCTTTTTGCAAGGGCAAACCGACAGGAATGTGAAGAAATCGTTGATATTCTCAACCAATATGAAGTAGCATCCAGACAGAAAATTAATTATGATAAATCGGAAGTGTCCTTTAGCAAAGGGGTAAGTGACGAGCGCAGATTTGAGTTGTTGAGTCTTCTTAATATGAAACTGGTGGACAAACATGAGAAATATCTTGGCATTCCCACAATTGTTGATAGATCGAAAAGAGCGGTATTTGGAGCTCTTCTTGACAGAATCTGGAAGAAATTACAGGGGTGGAAGGAGAAATTTTTATCAAGAGCAGGGAAGGAAGTTCTTCTTAAATCTGTGATTCAGGCAATACCCACATACCTGATGGGGGTGTATAAAATTCCAGAGTATGTCATTCAGAGTATTAAATCGGCCATGGCAAGATTTTGGTGGGGGTAGAGTGGGACTCGCAGAAAAGTACATTGGATGAGTTGGGATAAAATGTGTACTCCGAAATGTTTGGGTGGCTTGGGTTTTAAGGACCTAAGCCTCTTCAATGATGCTTTACTTGGGCGTCAGGCATGGAGATTGATTCGCAGACCTGAATCATTATTGGGGAAGTGATGCGTGTGAAATATTATCCTCACTCTACTTTTCTTGAGGCAAGGCTTGGCTACTCTAATAGCTATTCATGGAGGAGTGTGTGGAGCTCTAAAGCTCTAGTGAAGGAGGGATATATTTGGCGTGTGGGGGTTGGTTCAAATATAAATATATGGAGGGATCCATGGATTGCAGATGGAGAGGGTCATTTTGTGACCACTCCGCAAAGAGGTGAAGTGGAGAATAATGTTATGGAGATCATTGACACTGATAGAATGGAATGGAGAGTGGACTTGATTGAGGATATATTTGAGGAGAGGGATGTGCGGTGCTCTTGTCTATTCCTCTAAGTTGGCGTAGGCAGAGTGATGAAATTACTTGGGCGTTTTCCTTCGACGGGGAATACTCTGTGAAAACTTCGTATACGCTGGGAAAGGGTTGTAATTTTGACGAGTTTCACAAAGCCTTTGTGGATATTTGGAAGATCAATGTGTTCCCAAAGGCTCGTCACTTTCTATGGAGAGTTTGTACTGAAACTCTCCCTGTTAGGAAGTTGCTGCTCAAGCGTCATATGGCTGATAATGCGTGCTGCCCTTGGTGCTAGGAGGATGAGTTGCTGGGTCATGCGCTCTTTGATTGCATTAGAGTAAGAGAACTTTGGGGGGAGCTTGGTTGTATGGCAATGGTACGATGGGAAGACAAGGAGAGCATGTGCGATATGGTGGAATCATGGGGTAAGCTAGACTCGAAAATGGTGCAAAGGGGAGTGTTGCTAGAATGGTGTATTTGGCATGAAAGGAATTTGAAGATATTTGAGAATAAAATAACTCCTAATTTTGTGCTGCTGGAGAGAATAGCTCGGTGTGTGGAAGAATTTTAGAAGTATACTTCTCAAATTCGCAAATCAGCAGGGGTGCATTTGGCCTCTAGCTCTAAGAGATGGATTGCTCCTCCTAAGGGGGTCCTCAAATTAATTGCCGATGCATCCTTGGAAGAGGAGGGGTGGGTTGGATTGGGGGTTGTGGTGAGGGTCTGCACAGGCAGAGTAGTATTTGCGGGGACGAGGAGAATTAGAGCTAACTAGCCAGCTGAAGTTGCCGAGGCCAAAGCGCTCGATATGGCCCTCAAATTAGGAAGACAGCGTGGCTTGGAGAACATTATCTTGGAGTCAGATTGTCAACTCCTAATTCGAAGACTCTCAAGAGGTGCCTTATTTTACACAGATCTGGACTCAATCCTTGGGGATATTTTGCATGCTTGCAAATCTTTTGTATCGATTAGTTGGGCTCATGTCAAGAGGGAGGGTAATAACGTTGCCCATCACCTTGCTAGGCTTATTCCGTTTGGTACTGAACAAGTGTGGGATAATCATTGTCCACATGAAGTTTCATCTTATGTAACTATGGATGCTTGTATCCTTAGATTGATTTTAATACGAGTACCGTTTTCCTAAAAAAAAAATAAAAATAAATAAAGATTAGTACCCGTGCGTTGCACGGTGGTTTTAGTAATTTTTCTACGGAGTATATTTTTTTATCTTTTGTTGTTGATAACTTTCTAATATGATTTGGCTCGTTATTTTTTTAAAAAAATTTATTAAATAAATATTAAAAAAAAAACATGTACATAAAAATGGTTATTATTTAATATTGTATCATAATGTAATATTTACGATGTTATTAAAAATATATTAAAATGATGGTTAGATTAAATATATTAATGTTGTATAAATGTATAATTTATTAAGCTTATACGTTTAGAGTGGAAGCTAAATAAATGTGTGTTTACTATTAATTTTTTTTTAAAAAAATGTGTATTATTGATTTGTTAAAAAAATGTATAATTAGCTACCAATATCTATGTCTATTTAATATTGTTGTATTATGAATATCCAAAAGTAGTGTGGAGTATATACAGCAATATTGATGTCAAATTCAAGTTTCACACCTAATTGGTCCTAGTTTCTAGCAAAAAAAAATAAAATAAAATGATGACATCATATGTAAAATTTGGAAGGAAAATTTTTTATGAGAGTTTGACACGTAAGTACTTTAAAAAATTGATGACATCATCAATATTTTATTTTAGTAATAGTTAATAGATACTACTTATATATTTTCTCTTTTTTTAAGTAAGAGTTGAGGGAGAAGTAAAAATTCGGGTACACTATACTATTTTCATAATTTGTCGCCAGTGTTAACTTTTATACCAATGTGTCACAAGGGTGTTAATTTTTGGTCAATTGGCCAAATATAATACATTAAAACTATAATACAATAATAACATTAAAAGTATTGATCCGTATTCTGGGGTATCACAAACACTAATTATCGACTAAAAGAGTTGGTTTAGGTCATGTTAGCTTGGATAAATTAAAATTTCTCGCCAATTATTACTCTTGTCTTCAATAACAATAATAAGCTTATAGATTCGGTGGTGCCCTGGGTAAATAGTTGTTAAAACGGTCTCAATGTGTACTTTTTAAGTTTTTTAAAGCATAAAAAAAAAACCCAATAAATAGTTAAAACTAAGGGCATGTTCTGATGAGA